AAACTTGGAATGCAGTTATTTCTTACAATTTTGAGAAGGTGCCAGTAAGTTTGTCAAGTCCATTTTTGGGGTTTTGTGTGGAATTTTTTAGATTTAGCTTTTTGTTTCTCCACTTTTTATGTTATACCAATACAAATAAAATAAATATGAGAATACCTAAACATTCGTAATTGCAAAAATTTTCTGGGCGAAGAGGTACATTACCGGACAGAACTGCAGGGGTGCCAATATTTTTGGCCATGACTGTGTATACACTATATTTCCAAAGTTACATCCCTCTATATCATTGGATTCAAGTGTTCCAATCACCTCCATGGTCACAAGTGTATAAAATCAAGCACCTAGGCATACACTATATTGCCAAAAGTATTGGGACGCCTGCCTTTACACGCACTTTAATAGAATGAACTTTAATGGCATCCCAGTCTTAGTCCGTAGGGTTCAATATTGAGTTGCTCCACCCTTTGCAGCTATAACAGCTTCAACTCTTCTGGGATTCTTCTTCCAAAGGTGTTCTGTCGGATTGAGGTCAGGACTCTGTGCAGGCCAGTCAAGTTCTTGCACCCCAAATTCACTCATCCATGTCTTTATGGACCTTGCTTTGTGCACTGGTGCGCAGTCATGTTGGAACAGGAAGGGGCCATCCCCAAACTGTTCCCACAAAATTAAGAGCATGAAATTGCCCAAAATGTCTTGGTATGCTGACGCCTTAAGAGTTCCCTTCACTGGAACTAGGGGGCCAAGCCCAATCCCTGAAAAACAACCCCGCACCATAATCCCCCCTCCATCAAACTTTACACTTGGCACAATGCAGTCAGGCAAGTACCGTTCTCCTGGCAACTGCCAAACCCCAACACGTCCATCGGATTGCCAAACAAAGAAGCGTGATTGGTCACTCCAGAAGACATGTCTAGACTGCTCTAGAGTCCAGTAGTGGCGTGCTTTACACCACTACATCTGACACTTTGCATTGTACTTGGTGATGTACGGCTTACAGTAGATGCAGCTACTCGGTCATGGAAACCCATTCCATAAATGCACTGCTGTTGTGCCAATCTGAAGGCCACATGAAGTTTGGAGGTCTTTAGCTATTGACTCTGCAGACAGTAGGCGACTTCTGCACACTGTGTGCATCAGCATGTGCTGAGCCGCTCTGTCATTTTATGTGGCCTACCACTTTGTGGCTGAGTTGCTGTTGCTCCCAGTTGCTTCCACTTTGTTATAATACCACTAACAGTTGATGTGGAATATTTAGTAGGGAGGAAATTTCACGGATGGACTTATTGCACAGGTGACAACCTATCACGGTACCACGCTTTAATTCACTGAGCGCTGGAGAGCGACCCATTCTTTCACAAATGTTTGTAGAAGCAGTCTGCATGCCTAGGTGCTTGATCTTATACACCTGTGGCCATGGAGGTAATTGGAACACATGAATCCAATGATTTGGAGGGGCGTCACAAAACATTTGGCAATATAGTGTGTTTCATGCGATATCCTTTTTGGAATGATTGCATAAAGCTCCCAGGTAACATTTTTTTTCTAGGCTTTTAAATGCAGCATGTGCCATTTCCATGTTATGTGTTCAGAGTCCAAACCTACTTGAATTATCCCTCCAGGAAGCTGTCAGCTAATAAGCGGGAGAGGCATTCCCCGCTACACATGCCCCTTGCAAACATACTGCTGCTGGGCAGAGTATGCCACCACAGCCTATGATACTTTGGTGGCCTTGACAGATTCCTGGTGGAAAGGCTCAGGAGAGTTCTGGATGAACATGCCTGAGCTCATCCCTACTCATACCTGAGAGACTGTGCCTTTTTCTCAATGAATGCACAGTGTTCTCTGACTGGACTAGGTCAGTGGTCGGCAAGCCGCGGCTCTTTACAAACTTAAATGCGGCTCTTCTGTGTGCCGGGCGCCCGCTCCCCTCCCTCCTCTCGGGCGGCCGCCCCAAAAGTCAGGACTCTGCAGCTGTCAGGATGTAGGCGGGGCAGCCAGGATGTAGGCGGGGCAGAGTGACGAACTCCTCTCCTCTCACAGTCCACCCTGAAGACCAGAACGGCGCGGGAACACGGCGAGAGGAACGCGCGGAGCAAAGGTAAGTGAATTGACACAATATGGGGGATGTATTACTATAGGGGGGATGAATTACTATATGGGGGATGAATTACTATAGGGGGGATGAATTACTATAGGGGGGATGAATTACTATATGGGGGATGAATTACTATAGGGGGGATGAATTACTATATGGGGGATGAATTACTATGGGGGATGAATTACTATGGGGGATGAATTACTATATGGGGGATGAATTACTATATGGGGGATGAATTACTATAGGGGGGATGTATTACTATAGGGGGGATGAATTACTATATGGGGGATGAATTACTATAGGGGGGATGAATTACTATATGGGGGATGAATTACTATAGGGGGGATGAATTACTATGGGGGGGATGAATTACTATGGGGGGGATGAATTACTATGGGGGATGAATTACTATGGGGGATGAATTACTATATGGGGGATGAATTACTATAGGGGGGATGAATTACTATGGGGGATGAATTACTATATGGGGGAATTACTATGGGGGATGAATTACTATATGGGGGATGAATTACTATATGGGGGATGAATTACTATATGGGGGATGAATTACTATATGGGGGATGAATTACTATGGGGATGAATTACTATATGGGGGATGAACTACTATATGGGGGATGTATTTTCAGTTTTAAAAATGTGGCTCTCAAAATAAATTTCAATCGTGGTTTTGGCGAGATTTGGCTCAGTTGAAAAAAAAAGGTTGCCCACCACTGGACTAGGTGAAGAGGCAGGGGGTGATGTCGTAATCTAAACCTCATCCAATCAGAGAAAACCTTGCATTCATTGGGGAAAATACAAGGCATTCTGTGAATGGAGCCAATGCTGAATGAGCCCCCTCCTGTGCTTTCCATGTAGCTGGGCCATCGCTCAGAACCAGAAAATGAATGGGTCACTTGAAGCGGCAACTACTACAGTGCTACTCCACTTCCGCAGCGATCACTCGGGTATGGAACGGGCACGCTTACACAGGCTCAGGCTGGTCCAATAAATTCCATGGCTGACGTGGTAAATGCAACGCAGTATGACTCCAAATCTTCCCTGTAAGAACCGTGAACTGTCCGCAGCAAAAGCTACTTTTCTGACAAAATCGTCGCAGCCATGAAATGGTTACAGGTGTGATTCATAAACAGAGACTGACATGTTTCTACAACTAAGCAGAAAGACATACACACAGCACAGCACTGGGGGCTCATTCAGCTGGCTGCCGTAAAGTGAGAACTGACTTGTTGCTATGGGTTACTACACACTGCCCCACTAAACAGTCATCGTTAACCCTCCAGAGGTGTGGCAGGGCCTCTTCTGTACACCCAGCCATGGACACACAACAATAACAAAGTCACACACAACCCGGCTACAACTCACGTGGCCACTCTGACTACACACTGACTTCCTTCTTCAGCACGCCGCTCACTCACAAACCACGCCCCTCCACCGGCAAGGAGCTCTGAGAGACGGCGCATGCGGACTGGGCGCGCACTGGCTGCCTGGTTCTGCGCACGCGCACTTGCAATACGATAAATAGCAGCTTTCATTGGAAATTGGAAAAAAAAAACGTGTCAGTGGGAGGAAATGCAAATGGGGGAGGGGTCCTGTTATCACACTGTATGATTACATATTCTTGTCTGCTATGAAGTATAGGTTTTAGGAAGAAAATAGCAGATGTGACATTTACCTTCCAAACTGCACACAGTGATTGCCTATATCACACACTAGAGGGCGGCCCAGGACTCATCGGCTGCTCATAGCAGTAGAAGAAAGCCATGTAATTGTAGTACCACCACTGACCACTAGAGGGCTGCTTAAGACGCATCGGCTGCCCATAGTAACAGTATAAAAATATATCATTGCAGTGCACCACGAATGACCGCTAGAGGGCGGGCCGAGACTCATTGGCTGATCATGACGTAATTGCAGTGTACCACCACTGACCACTAGAGGGCTGCCTAAAACGCATCGGCTGCCCATAGTAACAATATAAAAATATATAATTGCAGTGCACCACGAATGACCGCTAGAGGGCGGCCCGAGACTCAATGGCTAACCGTAGTAGCACGATCATGACGTAATTGCAGTGTATCGCTAATGACCACTAGAGGGCTCCCTAGTACTCATCGGCTGCCCATAGTAACAGTATAAAAAATATACCATTGCAGTGCACCACAAATGACCACCAGAGGGCAGCTCAGGACTCATCAGCCGCTTGTTATGTAGCGCTATAAAAAATATGTTATTGCAGCGCACCACCAATGACCACTAGAGGGCAGTCTAAGATTCATCGTCTGCCCATAGAAACAGTATAAAAATATACCGTATATATCATTGCAGTGTACCATGGATGACCGCTAGAGGGCCGCCCAGGACGTCACAGCTTCCCGCTGTTGTAATTGCATTGTACCACCAATGACCACTAGAGGACAGTCTAAGATTCATCGTCTGCTCATAGAAACAGTATAAAAATATATATATATCATTGCAGTGAACCATGGATGACCGCTAGAGGGCCGCCCAGAACTTCACAGCTGCCCGCTGTAGTAATTGCATTGTACCGCCAATAGACCACTAGAGGGCTGCCTAGTACTTGTGGTACTTCGCTTGTTGCCAAGTAACAAGTGGGAGACGTAAGCTTTCACGGGATATTATGGCAGACATTCCTACCTATAGTCTATTCATACATTCCATGTTTTATTATGTTTTATAAGAGACAAGTCTCGAGTATTGTGCGGCGTTAACCAGTGACTTTGCCAGGACTTATTATGGCGGCTACATGGAGACACGTACTGTGAAAGTCACTTCCGCTTCCGGCGACCTTCAGAGCATGTGTGGTAGTGGAGGCTGCCTGTGTTCCTGTGTGATGAGTGGAAGCTGCGGAGAATAGACAAGAATGAAGTGGCCATTGTGTAGAATACAGCCAGGCAGGTAATAGTCCTCTCACTGGGTGATTTACTGATCTTCTACTGGAAGAAGGCGGCCATGTCATGGTCAGCTGAGCTGCATATGTGCTGTTTGCTGGATGGAACATTACTGAGGGACCAGTGATGGGGGAGGAGGGGAGAACAAAATTGGTTTGTCTTTATTTACAAACCAGAGGAAGTAAAGTTCCGTGACAGCGAACAGGCAGGCTTTTTATTGTATGAGAGCCTCTTCTGCAATAAAATACACTCTCCTGTGATGTCATCTGAGCTACGCATGCGCAGGAGTGACGTCATCCCGCACTGGCCAATGAAGGCAGCGGATCAAGGAGAAGATGCCAGTGAGGGACAGGAACCGTTGAAGGAAAGCGAAGTATAGCTCCTTTTAGTTCCACTTTACTAGCGGTGCACCGAAATGACAATTCAGGATGAATTTCACCGAAAACTGAAATGCACAGTTTTAAAAAAAATGATCTATAATTGTATTATATTCAACTTTTTAACCCCTTGCCTACCAGGCACTTTCACCCCCTTCCTCCCCAGGACAATTTTCAGCTTTCAACACTGAATGACATTTGAATGACAATTGCGCGGTCATACAACACTGTACCCATATGACATTTTTAGCATTTTTTTTTTCATACAAATAGAGCTTTCTTTTGGTGGCCTTTAACCACTTCAATACCAGGCACTTTTACCCCTGTCCTGCCCAGGCCAATTTTCAGCGCTGAATGACACTTTGAATGACAATTGCACTGTCATGCAACACTGTACCCATATGAAATTAAAAAAATTCACACAAATAGAGCTTTCTTTTGGTGGTATTTAACCACTTTAATATCGGCACTTTTACCCCCTTCCTGCCCAGGTCAAATTTTCAGGTTTCAGTACTCTTACACTTTGACAATTGCGCGGTCATGCAACATTGTACCCAAACTAAATTTTTATCATTTTGTTCACACAACTAGGGCTTTCTTTTGGTGGTATTTAATCACCACTGGGGTTTTTATTTTTTGCTTAATTAACAAAAAAAGGACAAAAATTATTTGGGGGAAAAAACACGTTTTTCTTTGTTTCTGTTATAAAAGTTTGCAAATAAATAATTGTTGTTCATAAATTTAGGCCGAGATGTATTCTGCTACATGTCTTTGGTGGAAAATACCCCAAATTAGGATGTATTATTTAGTTTGTAGGAAAGTTATAGAGTTCACAAACTATGGTATAGATCTGAAAATTGATCAATCCTGAAGTACTGACAGCCAATCTAATATCTTGAGGTCCAAGAATGTCAGAACAGTACAGATATCCCCCAAATGACCCCTTTTTGCGAAGTAGACAGTTCAACGTATTTCATGAGAGGCATGGCGAGTGTTTTGAAGTTGTAATCTTTTTATAATTTTTTGGAAAATGAAGAAATTAAAACAATTATTTTCCCAATTTTTTTTTTTTTTACATACTGTCACCAGTGCAGTACAGCATCATCATATAACTGGTGTGGCAGTGATCAGGGACATTGGTGACAGTACAAAAAAGTTTTTTTTTAAGTTTTTTTTTTTTGTTTTTGTTTTTTTCATTTTACACTATGACCAAAGTAGTATAATGTTACCATAGTAACATTGTACTACTTTGGGGACGTGATCAGTATTTTTTTTTTTTTTTTTACACAATTTGATTGCTTATAGCAAAGAATTTCTTTGCTATAAGCAAGCATTTAACTGAATAAAATTGATTAATTTGGGTTTTTTTGTTGTGATTAGCCACGGCTAATCACATGACACAGATGGGTTGTGATTGGCCCAGCCTGTGCATGTGATCACTGTGACCATTCACAGCTAGACACACTCGTATACAATGGATGGCATGAAAGGAAGCCATCCAGTGTTTACAACTGTCATGTGACCTGGTGCGATTGGTCAACAGGGCTGGTACACAGATCTGTCTTTGGCTGTGTCCAAGGTACACAGCCGGTGACAGATCTCATCACAGCACGGCCCTGCGGGCACACGCAAGGCGCGATCCAGGAAGGACGTCATATGACCTCCCTCATCGATGAGAGTCCCGCCTGGCCGTCATTTTCCTATTGACTGGGAGGGAAGTGGTTAATCACCTCTGGGTGGGCACTGATCATCACGTGGTAAAAGGCCGCTATGATTGACCTTTTACCTCATCACGTGATCAGCTGTGTCCTTAGGACACAGCTAATCACAGAGAGCACTGGGTGCGCACCACTGGGGGCACGCAGGAGGGTGCGTTCTGGGAGGACATCATATGACGCCCTAGCAGAACTGGACAACCGTGCTGTAGCTGTCATTTGGCTATAGCGCAGTTGGCAAGAGGTTAATCAATATCATGAATTTAAATGAATATGAATTTATTTTCAGCTCCTTTCAGCCAATAGGCTGCAGTTTTTGAAGTATGTCTGGTCCGTTGCACTTCTCTTGTGGTGTTAAAGAAATCCTGCTTGCTGCATTTTTGGTGCATATTTGGTCAGTTAAAAAAAAAAAAAAAAAACACACCTCCCTGTTGAGGCCTCATTTACATCAATGTGTTTTTTAGTGCTAATTAACATGGTTTCTTATGGGACTTGTTCACCTCTATGCTTTTTTTGAGCTGCTGCGTTTTTGCAAAGGGTCAGGGACTTTTTAAAATGCAAAACATTGCGTTTTTTTTTGTTAAATAGACTTCAAAGGAGATACTGCAGAAAAACACATGTAGTGCGTTCTTCACACGTTTTTGATGCATTTTTTTTTATGTGGTTTGCATTTTTAATCTGCAACAGGTTTGCCAAAGAAAAATTAGAACATTCAAAACACATCGAAAAACGTGTGCAAAAATGCACTGCAAAACACCAGACGCCAACAGCAATGATGTGAACCTGGCCTGGAATGCATTGAAAATGCAGCAAAATTGTATCAGAAATGCACGTGGTATGTTTTTGATGCATTGTTTGAGTCACATGATCTATGAAAAAATCACCCTAAATGTGGTAAAATCGTGGGTAAAATCAGAGCAAAATCACACGTTTCAGTGGCCATTACCGGCACCTTTGTTACTATCGGCAAGATGCCACGAACACTATTTTCAGCCAATACATCAGCGCATCCCTAGCTTTAACCCCTCTGTGCCAGTACATTAAATAAGCTGTGATGCCCTCGTCCAGTAGGAGGGGCTCTCAATCATGTGGCACTATAATTGGCTCCACAGTACTGATATCATTGGCAGCTCATCCTCCTGCCTTCAGATCGTCTTACTTATACCCAGTGAAGTGACTGGCCTCAGGTCATACACAGAGAATAAACAAATCCTCCTATATAAGTTGTACCTGTTTATCTGCAGCCATTTCTACATCTGTTGAAAGTGCTCACTTTATAAAGCTTGTCTGAGAGTTCAGAAAAAAGGAGGCAGAGAGCTGCAATTACACACTTCAGAGCTCTGTGAGGAGAGCTCTGAGAGCTGATTGGACGGAAGAGACACCCCCCCCCCCCCCCCCCCCCCTCCTCCACACAGCTCACAGGAATAGAGCTGAGGCTGTCAATCTGCTGGAAGTCCCTACCCTGTCACCATTTTTGTCTTGGTGTCAGGAAATCTGATAGAGGAATGAAGCCGCAGACTGAAATTACACTCAGTGCTCTGGATTGAGACAGGTACACTAGATGGATATGCTTTGTTCATATTTCATTTCTGAGGTTTACAACCACTTTAAAGCAGAACTGAAGTTCTACTGTAGGAAACAGTGAGCAGGCTATTTATCATAGAAGAGATAAGATAGATTGTCTCCTCTGCAATAAAATGCCCCTACCTGCCTGCTCGCTGTCTTCTCCGGCTCTGTAAACTGTGCTGCACATGCACCTTAAAGCTCCGGGCTGATCTCTGAATGCCTGGATGACTGCTTCCTGCACATGCACAGTAGTGACATCATTCCCCGCTGGCCAATGAAGAGGCCCGAAGACTGGCACTCAGAAGACGATGCCAGTGCAGGACCATAGGACAGGTAAGTTTTAAGTCTTTATCTTCACTTTAACCCACAGCTGGCAGTGATAACTCACACTTCTGGGGGTGTCAGTGAAGCATGTCCCCCATCAAGACAGCAATGCATGTATGGGTGTTGAGGCCTACCTGACTTGGTGCCACATGAAGGGCTTATTCAGATGGGCAGTAAAAGAAGCATCTGAGCCACAGTTTTACCACCCCGACAGCTCATCTGCACTGTAACTATACAGCCAGTCAGGCCTATACAAATGCCGCAGCATTTTTAACACTGGGTGCAGAGTTTGACAGGTAACACCACCTGTCAGACTCCCCCATTGAGTTTAGTGGGGCAGTAGCACAACCACAAGCCAAGCACTTGGCTTGCATCAAAGACCCACAATGTAAAATCAGCAATGTAAACATTTAGCAAATAAAAGTTAAAAAAAAAAAACATGCTTAGGAGGCAGCTATACCACCTTCTGAAAAGCGTTCCACCACAGACCATTTTTCAGAGAGTGGTAAACCGTACCATAAGGCACAAAAAAAAAAGAAATTCTCCCCCCCCCCCCCCCCCCCCCCCTCACTGGTCTCCGGGAAATCTAAAAAATCCAACTTGCAGTGGGTCTGTGACTGCACTACATGAGTTAATTGCACATTTATGTCTAGGGAGATTTGGAAAAGTAGATTTACCTACCCAATCCTCCTCTCCTGCAAGTTCCTTTTGGCTGCTAAACTGGTCCCAACAGTCTCTACTCCCTGTGCTCCGGTAGCATAACGTCCTCTGATGTCATCACGACCAATGCAAGGAACATGGGGGAGCTGAGGATTGGATAAGTAATAGTTTTACTGACACCGAAACTAAATGAACGGGTAACTTCTGCCGTGTGTGATCAGCCCCACAGAAAGGGAAAATTCTTAGGTTTCTAGATTTGAGCTTTAAGTTTAGGGTGTACAGAAAGAGGCTTTGTTACTTACCTGACCTCCCACGCCAGTGTTAACCTCTTTTCCCCAACGCTTTGGTCCTTGGGTGGTCCCTCAGTGTGATCACGTACAGTGAAAAGCTATTAACCCTCCATTGTGCAAGGAGGAGACGAATACATGTGCCTTCGGCTGTGGCCATCTTAGAGAGGAGACTGTGGGGGACCAGTTGCACCTCTAAGGAAGTATATTATTATATAAGTATATTATTAGAGCAAATGTAAGTGTGAAAGATAATGGGTTTTTTTTTTTGGGGGGGGGGGGCAAAGTTCCTTTTTAAAGCCTAACTCTGGGCAAAATAAAAACCTTTGCAATGGAGACCCCACCTTACACAGCAAGGACTATTACTTTTCTCTTTTCCAAGCTCCAGCAGAGTCCCTTTGCAGAACTTTGCGCTCGCAAAAGAAAAAAAAATACTTTTTTTACCCCATTACATTTGATGCACCTCTTGTGCTCTGATAATATACAGTTGCAAGAAAAAGTATGTGAACCCCTTGGGATTACATGGAGTTTTGCATGAATTGGGCATAAAATGTGCTCTGAACGTCCTCTAAGTCACAACAATAGAAGAACACAGTCTGCTGAACATAATACTACACAAACATTAGATGTTGCCATGGTTTAATTGCACATAACATGTAAACATTCACAGTGCAGGGAGGAAAAAGTATGTGAGGCCCTAGCTTAATGACTTCTCCCAGAGCTAATTGGAGCCAGGAGTGAGCCAACCTTGACTCCAATCAGTGTGATGATATTGGATGTGTTGCTGACAGCTGTCCTGCCCTTAAAAAACACACACCTGTTTTGGGTTTACTGGTTTCAAGAAGCACTGTCTGATGTGAACCATGCCTCGCAGAAAAGAGCTCTCAGAAGACCTACGATCAAGAATTGTTGACTTGCATGAAGCTGGAAAGGGTTACAAAAGTATCTCCTTAGATGACGTTCAGAGCACATTTTATGCCCAATTCATGCAAAACTCCACGTAATCCCAAGGGGTTTTCTTGCAACTGTACTTACAAGCTTGGCAGGTTTTACACTTGGTAGGTTCAGTGCTGTCCTCTTCTCCCACACCACTGTCCTGCCATAGGTGCTGTTACATGCTGCCATCTTTTTTGTATTGTCACAGGGAGCTGATTGTTTCTACCTGATTCCTGCAAGCCCCCCCAAAACAGAATGATGCAGTTTTATGAGTCATGGAAAGTAATGCTTCCTTTCATAATGATGTTGCATGTTCAGAGAGGCATGACTTTCCTCCATCCATGGAAGAAAATGTAAACAGACAGTATCAAATCTCTGCACATATGTGGGATCTGGCACCATTTCTGTTTTCATGAATGAAAACCGAAATGGCTTTTTCATATCCTGGGATATGTGCCATCGGTGTGTGAAAGCATTACTGCTGTACAAGACTTTAAAAGGCTTAAGCAGGCCATAGATGAGTCGAAAACCAAAAAAATTTTTGCTGATCGTGGAATTGTTCACTTTTTGCATCATAAGTGTGCCAGCTGTGATAAGTGATTTCTGTACCGCAATCGAAAACGAAACAAATTATTGCACAGTCATGTGAGCTATTTTCATTTTTCAGTCGACAGAACACTCGGTTTTTGACTCATCTGGCCAGCTTTACTCTTCTGCTGACAAACATTTTACTTGACAGGAAGTGAAGAGAAAATTACTACAGGGACGCAAACAGAAAAAAAAAAAAAATCTTACACGGGCCCTTTTCCTACTTTATTTGAAAAAAGAAAAAAAATCTCTCTGTGTTGCTGTTGGAGAGTTCCTCTCACTTCCTGTCTAATGAAACATCACCAGCAGGACAGGAATTGGAGGTAAATCTGTTCAATGGAGCTCCAGATAGCAGTAAAAACCTGACAGGGATTCAAGTCCTTCCCCATTCTATCCAAAACAAAAAAAAACTGTTGTGGCTGGACATGCACTTTAAAAAAGACTGCTTGATTGCCACTTTGTCATTATAAATATTCCACCAGGGCCTCATTCAGTGTTTTATTTTGGTATGTTTTGCAATCCATCCAGAATAACTTGTTGTTAGTCCTTCTAAACTGGTATCATGTGTTACGTGCTTATACTAGTCTATTTGATAAGCTCTCACAAAGCTTCCTGCTTTCTAAATCCTGAATCACAGTAATGACAATTTTATATATTGCAGGTTACATAGGTCATTTGTTGCTGCCTGCAGTGCTCGGATGGTCCATCTTAAGAAGCCCCCAGACTCTACAGAAGAGAACAGTTCGATACCTATAAAGTTCTCTACAAGTAAAGCAGGTCCTCATAAATGGACTGTTGACAGATCATTTGGTAGTGATTACCAGCAGCCCTGGTGGAAAGTACTGCCAGTCAGTTTATTTATAACAGCTGTTCTGATATGGGCAGTTTTTCGGAAAGAAGCAGAGATTGATGAGAACATCTACAAACCAATTGCAGAGTTACTAGGTGACATAGAGAAGACTGAATCACAAGATCAAAAAGGCAAATAAAATTCTATACGTTGACTATGTTTGAACTTTTATTACAAGCAAGCCTATGGACGATAGCACTGCCGGATATACTGTATAAGTGGATTTGGCCTTCTACATTTGGACTGGACAGTGCCATGAACCCAATTGTTCTATCAAGCTGTGGAACGGTTTCTGAGAATGTGGACAGCAAAATTTGATGTATAACGTGCTATAATTATGGATTGAGGGCCTGCATTTTAGTGCCTGGATAATAAGTGCTGTGCACATTTTCATCAAAATGGGGAATTATGTGAATGAATGAACTATAAGTCATGCCTGCCGCATCAGCAGATGAATTTGTAGTTTGAATGGGCTTCAAGCACACTGATCAGCATGCTTGTAATTCATTCATTCTTCCTCTGGTTTTGTAAGAGAAAAGCCCATACAGTGATACAGACACAAAGCTAGAGGAACACTCTGCAGTAGCCTGAAACTGCACCCACAATCAGCTGAAATCAATAATAAATGTACATTTTAATACCTGCAAAATCATGTGCGGTTATTATTTTTTTGGGGAGGGGGGGACTTCACTTTTAGTAAGTAAAAAGGTTTAAAAAATTAAAGGTGCACCAAATCAATAAACCAGAAGAAGAAAGGAAACTTTTCATGAAAGGAGACGGACGGTTATGTCCCAAATAGGTTCTAAAGTTGGACCACACGACCCGAGATTGAGGTCGAGCTGAGTTAACGGAGAGCATACTGGTGGTACAATCTGAACCAGTCATTGTGCAAAGGCTCTGACAAAGGCATGGGAAGCTGGCAGTCCCTTGAGTTGCACTGTCTAGGCAGAAACCTGAACCTTAGTAGTTTTTAGGGCCAAGGACTTTTACAATCCTGAATGGAAGGATAAGTCCTCATGCACACTGGACATTTTTACAGCTGCTGTTTTTGGCACTTTCTTCTACAGCCAAAAAACTCCCCAGCATGTTATTCTATGTGTCCATGCACACAAATGCTTTAACCAGTGATTTTTTGGCTGAGGAAAAAAACCCCAGAACTAGTGGGTTTCTAGAGGAGTTTTTTAGCTGTAAAAACGCTTAAACGCTGTAAAACCCGGCAAACCAGCGTTTTTGGGCCTTTTTTTTAGCAAACTTTTTTGTGTAAGTAAAAAAAACACAAACATGGCTAAATGCTAATGCAAAAACGCTAAAAAAATGCAAAAAAAAACATTGCGTAGAGCTGATACTACCGGCGATTTTAAAACGCCCAGTGTGCATGAGGATTAAGACTCTTTCCACAGAGTATTTCTTGGAATGAAGCTTTCTCTTCTCAAAGCATGATTTCCATGTATGTGTGGTAGTAAACCATATAGAATGAGGGCTTTCTGACCTTCAGCAAGGTTGGAGTCATGGAATTTGACAAGTGCTGTGGTGTTGTTGGATTGGAAGTTCCCAGAGTAGGGGCTCAAGTGCGGAAGAGCAGACAGATTTGCCCTGCCAGGACCCCCCAGCCTCACAAGATGGCATCTGTTGCTAGTACCTTTCACCTGACAGGGATAAAAGATTTCCCCCAACTCAAGTACCGGACTGGATAGCCACCATTCCAAAGTTGACCTGGTTTTTGTGCTCCAATTTATGGGTTTATCTAAGAACAGAGTCCATTTGCCCTGCATTGTCAGGATGTTAAGTAGCAATAGTCTTGAAAAAAACTGATCGTAGGAGACTGACTCGAAGGAGGCTTTGATTGACCCCAGCAATTTCATTCAAAAGTGGATAGAGGGTGTTCCAGGGAACATATCTCCCATATCTTGGAATGGACAATTCAATGTTTGACCTGTGGAAAGAAAACTCATGCCAGGGCCGTGTCCAGCATGAGGCCCAGATCCACCAGGTGGTGTGATAACTCTAGGGTCAACTTTTATTAATTGAGGACCCAGCTATCCCATAAAACATGCAAACTTTCTTGCAGATTGGCCTTACAGCCAGCCATTGATTTGCTTCTGCAGGCACACAGAGAGCTAACACTTAGGGACAAGGATCTTGGTGAATAGTTGTGGGGCCGTGGTCAGGCCAAAAGACAGAGCCACAAATTGAAATCATTTCCCCAGAGATAGCACTGATGAGTTGGAAAACTTGATATGTGCAGGTAGGCATTCTTGATGTCCACCTAAGCCAGGAAGTTCCCCTGATAAAGAGAAGCAATCACTCACAGATTCCATATGGAACTTTTGAACATCAGTAACTTGGTTAAGTGCTTCAAATCCAGAATGGGCCACACATCACCATTTGGCTTTGGCACGATGGAATAGTAACTGTTAAACCTTGCTGGTTCTGGAACAGGGGCAATGATTCCCTGAGAGTACAATAGGACCAACGCAGCATGAAAGAGTTTAGATACGAAACTCCTGCATGTAGCTTCTGGACACAATGCTCAGACAAATATCTCGAGTCCATACAGCCATGCTTCCCTTCCCCCCCCCCCCCCCCACTTGTAGAAGCAGGGAAGGTTCATTTTCCTGTCTTGATCCTGAAGAAAGAAAGCTTCTGCCACTCCTTTAAAAGTAAGTGTTTTCTCCTGTGATCTTCTGGCTAAATGTATCCATTACCCTAAAGACTATCCCCCTCAAAAAGCATACATTCCAGCTGTTTCATGCAGGGGTGCTCTCCTGACAAGCATTATAACTTTGCATACACCATCAAAGTCTGACAAATCCTTATAGATGCTATGGTGGGTTGTGTGTTTGCATATGCCATGGAAAAGGACATCTTAAATAGGGACTCAAATTTTTTGCCCATATAGTCTATAAACACCAGTACATCATCCACCTGTAAGCATATATTTCCATAGCTGGGACCGCCCACTTTTGGATGAAGCTGTCCTCCATAAGGTATTGTGCAAACTGCTTAGTGGGATGTAATCATCTTGTCCGGGTGCATCCAGACATTGTATAGTTCCTCTGGTATGAGGATGCAACAGAAAGGACTTGGTTGGTTTGGATGCTTTCCAAGACCCAACTGTGTCACTTTAGGCCCCAAGGGTTTTTCTAGTGACAGCTTCAGAATCTTGCAAACCACCTTTGTGAGAAAATTCACTGTGGTCCTCTCTGTTTGCAAAACAATAGAGGCCCAGTGTCATCCTCAGTGTATTCATCTACCCCTGAGGAGCCTGCTTCTTTGGTCCCTTCCCCCTCCACTTCCTCTTCTTCTAACCTTAGAAAAGGTGGGAGGGGAAACTCACAAGGTAATCCCTGTGGGGACAGAGACCTGGACCATTTATGGTCACCTCGCTGTAAGGCTTTACAGATATACATATACCAATTTTTCCAGCGCAGTGGAAAAGGCAGCCCAGAATTTTTTTATGGACACAAAGGTTCCAGAGGATAGAGCCCCTGAAGGAGTGATTGAAAAAACAGATGCTGCCTTAAAGCCAGAGACTATTAGCCCAAGAATGAGATTGTGGAAGGAAGACTGTCACCACCTAAAGGCCTGAGGTTCCACAGTTGCACTGCAGCCTGGGCTATGGATAATGGAGCTTCACAAAATGCCAATTGCTTGGGCCATTGTCTAGACAGATAAGAGGCTGGATCCAAGATGGCGCCTGCACCTGTGTATGACCCTGGCTGAGCTACACATGCAGCGTGGAGTGTCTGCACCTGCACAATACACTCGTGTGCTCTCTCATGCCATAGGCTGGGTGGCACTTGCCAAGTGACCATAGAGCATGCATATACAACGAATGGTGTGAAAAACGACCAAATGTGCCTATAGTTAGCCCACGGCCCGGAGGTGGGGAAAAAGTACCTGGGGTCCCCACCACGATCAGGGCAACATGTCATATGCAAAAGTTCTAAAGGCTCAGTCTTCACTACATCCTGGTTGATCTACTCCACAGGGTCCTCGGGGGCTAGGCTCTGCCACAGCAGAACTAAGTTCTGGGCATGTATAGAACCCAGCTAACTCATGCGATGCAACCACCTGCCAAGGTTGGCTTCCAACACAGGATCCAGTGCAGTTGCAGCATACAGAACTTCCTTGTTCTATAGGAACCAATCCAGATAACCACAGCTGCTCTGAGGTACCAAGGCTTACCTACTAAACCCAGCTGAGAGATTTTGAGCATCTCAGGAAAACCCTCTCTCAGGAGGGAGAGACAAGACCATCACCTACATACAGAGTCTAGCAAAAAATTGAGGCAATGCTAGGAGTGAGAGAGAGGCTATCCAGGGCTGAGTTAAACTCTTCTATTTGCTAGTGTCCAATAACTTAGAGGTGGAGCATTACGTAGTGGTCTAAGAATTAAAGAATATGTAAAACTAATATTTCATTTGTATTGCTTCCTTTGTGGAATCCCTGGTGTTACTGCCAGTCCCTCTGCTTTCCTAATAAAAACTGACCACACTAGGCATGAGAGCCAACCATTGTCAGTTCTATAGCTACAGTGCCTTGAAAAACTATTTGTACCCCTTGTCTACATTTTGTCATTTTCCACCCAAAAAGAGAATCTGTGGCAAGACTTGAAAACTGCTGTTCACAGACGCTCTCCATCCAATCAGACAGAGCTTGAGCTATTTTGAAAAGAATGGGCAAAAATTTCACTCTCTAGATGTGCAAAGCTGGTGGAGACATCCCAAAAAAGACTTGCAGCTGGAATTGCAGTCAAAGGTGGTTTTACAAAGTATTGACTCCGGGGGGGCTGAATACAAATGCACGCCACACTTTTCAGATATTTATTTGTAAAACATTTTGAAAACCATTTATCATTTTCCTTCCACTTCACAATTATGTGCCACTTTGTATTGGTCTATCACATAAAATCCTAATAAAATACATTTACATTTTTGGTTGTAACATGACAAAATGTGGAAATGTGAATACTTTTTCAAGGCACTGCATGTTGGGAACTCAATTTCCCAATTCCCAACTGTTTTGCCTTTCATTTCTATTTTAAACTGAATGGGTTGTTTTATAAGGTGAGGATTTACAATCACTTTAACTCTCATGTGTCCTGTTATGTACAATTAGGAAATACAGCTTTATTCA